ACACCTCATTACGTCCCTGCATTAGGCTAAGCAGATCCTTGTTGTCGGTGATCTCGGCATTCATAATGGAAATTTGCCGCCAGACGTGGCTGATTTCGCTTTCGATAGTCGAACTGAGATTCTGCATGGTTTCGATTTGTCCAGTAATTACGTTCTCGTCCACAGCGTCGAAGCGTCCCTTCAGCAAATCGACGATCTCTTCTCGTTGTTTGTCAAGCAGATCGTTGATCTTTTGCACTGTCTGTAAGGTGCCAAATTCGACCTTGCGTTGCGTGTCTAAAAGGTATTCGGAGTTGGCCATCAGAATGTTATTGAATTTGCTGAAGATCTCGAGGCCATCGTTCAACTTGCTGTAGCTAGTGTTCATTTCGTTGTAGAACTTCTCGAGCGTGTCGGCCTGCTCGGTAACGCCTTCCAAAATTTTAGCAGCACCAGTCTCAAGACTTTGCTCGGTCTCCTTGATGAGTGAGGCTGTGCCAGCTTGCGCTGTTGGATAAATAATTTGTGTTAATAACTTCAGGTTTGTTTAAAAATTTTGAGAATTCTGAGTCTTTGAACCCCTATCCCCACCGCGCTTACCTTGTTCTGTCAAACTCTGCACATTGGTCTTCATATTTTCGATCGCAGCGAGCGTATCGTTCGTCAGTCCATGTATTAATTCTTTGTCTGCCTCCGACAGTCCTTCATGGGGCTTGGGTTGCGCGCGTAGTTCTTGTATGCCAGTTGCCAGCTCGTCTAATTTCCCCAAAACTTTGTTCTCGAATTTGGAGTTATCCACCGGCTCTGGCGCTGGCGCTGGCGTTATCACACTATAGCTCACCAGCTTGTCTTCAATTTTGGTTAGCATTTCTGCAGTGGATGGTACACTCTTAAATGCTACCTCGGTCTGCTCCATCATATTCTTGGAGGCGTCCAGCAGTTTTTCGACATTCGAGGATAATTTTTCTATATGCTCGAGCATATTTCGATTAATTTTCTCCTGTTCGGCAATAAACTCTGGCGACACTGCTGGTGCTTGAATGATGGGCGCCGATGGAGCGATTGCTTGGCCACCTAGCGGCATTGTTGGTCGCTTGTAGTATTCATCATTCTCACGCATCCATTTGATCCATTTGAAGATGTGCTCCAGTGTTTCGCCGAGCTTTTCAGTTTGAATATTGTACTTTTCTTCTTGCTGTAGAGAAAGGAGTAAAAGTGTAATATATATGTGATACCCAAATGAATATTTTGGGATGTTTTATTTGACTTACCGTTATCAACATAGTTTCAATTTGGCTGACTCGCTCGTCTAGACGCCCAAATATACCATTAAGCGGTTCGAGATTCTTTTGCCCTTTCTGTAGACTCTGTAAAGCTTTCTTTAGTAATTCGCCAAGCGCACTTTCACGATGTTCGTGCCGTTCCAATTTGTTGTCCAACTGGTTGTAGGAATACATGAGCGACTGCATGGTACCACGTATATCATCTCGGCTGGGAAGAAAATATATATACAATTAGATTAGTGCACACACATAAACATGTAAATAGAGGCAGGTTTCCTAATGATAAAAAATTTTGCTTCCCTGAAGACCTTCATTAAACCTACTATAATGCAAACACCATTTGATATATTCAGCTGTTGGTGTTCTTTCATCAACTTCTTTACTGCCAGAAATTTTCGAAGTTATGAAGTCGTCTTACTCAACTCCTGGTGCACGGAGAGTAGGATAGAAGTCGAAGCAGTCAAAATTTTGACAGTGAATCTCCACAAGTTTCTGAGAGCCTTGTTTTAGACTTTTTTCTGGCCGGTGATTTGCTATGCGGCGCCATTATAGGGACTATCAGTTGAAAATCAGCCTACCAAAATATGTGCTATGATATTGGAACGAGCCTCAGCACCACAGTGACAAAATCGAGTTCCGCGAGCTGCCGCCTTCGATATCGAGAAATTGGAATTCCTACTCCTTGAACAACGCGACACCTGACACCTCTTCTCATCCACCTGCTTTCCGATGATCCTAAAACAATAGTTTCTTTGTTCGTCGCCAGTACTACTTTCTCAGACTCAGGTTCGTCAAGCCTATCCAATGCTAAAATAATATAAGCAGTAAGACTCAATTTTAAGAGAGTAAAGCGGTAGACTTCGCACGAGGTGGTTTTTCTAAGGGCGATCTTCCATAGTAGGGCAACAAAACCATCCAGCGAAGGCCGAAGTATTGCGCGTTTGACGGATAATTTTAGTAACCTGCTGAAAGACCCACAGAAGTTCGAGCAGATAGTTTGGTCGAAATTAAAAGTGTGTCCCCTTATCTTCACACTTCGTTTAATCTAAAAACGGCAGGAAGAAATATGTGCAATCCTGTCTCTTTGGCTGAGTTGCAGAGGAGACAGCTGTGTATAAGATTTATCGTGATTACCTGCCAAAATTACTTAACATCTGGTGCCCTTAAGCACAACGGATCAATTAAAATGCCTTGATCAGCGCTCCGAAATGCAAGCGTTCAGTACCAATTGGCAGTGTGTGGTGGACACACTCGTCAGCTTGGTCGGGCTCAAGGCCCATCTAAACCTCTGCCGCACTATGGGTCCGGCACCTGGTTACCATACAACTCCACGTTGAACCATTGGCGATTCTGCCCTTATTTTGGTGTTAAACCACAACCACCACGTTACTCCCCGAGGGGCCGCACCATGAACAGACCGAAGTAATGCTCGCCAGCCAGACAAAATTCTAAACGCTGAATGTTTTGTATATGTTTGGCTGGAAATTTGAATCAACGCATGCAGAGGTCTGGTATATACACACTCCTATGTAATGAATGAATACCTCCGTGCATTTAAGGGAATACAAAGTTCTTTAAAGAATTCTAGGCAAATGTCAGCCAACTTCCACATTAATTAATTTCTGCAGCTGCGAGATGTGTGGGGCGTGCAGCCTATGATCATTTGCATAGACATCAGTCAGCACCCACCCCAAAGACTTTCATTTTTAAGCGCCACTTGGACGATCACCCAATAACTGAAACAACGCAGCGGCAATTTTTGAAATGATAGATGATGATACATTTATGGTGCCTTTGACTTTTACAACTCAAGCGAAATTAGCATAAGAAAACCAAGCGAAGACTACCCTGCCATACATACAAATAAACCGACTGCTTGATTTCAGCCCTTTATGAGTTTCCTTTCATGAAGCAGCTTTGCCAGAGGCATTCATGCATTAGGCGACCAATTATGCAGAATAGTCGTACGCGCAATGAGCGAGTGCCCAATTTTATTGCCTCGACTGACTGACGCTGCCATTTGTTTACAATAGAATAGAATCATCAAGTCGAATGCAAACATTATTGTTTACTTGGAATGAGACGCAACTCAATTGTTGCCTTCACTGGCGGTGCCCTTAATCCCTACAAACATAAAAGGCGCGCATGTACTTAAATGCAATTCATCCAGAAAACGCTGCCCAGCGCTCAGGGTCAAAGCTTTGGCTGGCAATGCGTTATTGCGCTGCAGCACTTGCAACTTCCTCGGCTGGGCTGCTTACTCGCAAGCGTTGAGTAACTGCCATCCCTAAATTGGCGCGTCAAGCGCCAAGCAACTGTCAAAAATCCTCATGCCCATACAATTTGTATGAAGCATCCCACAATAACGCGGCGCTAACGCCGAGCAATTGGAATTTTCATTTTTGACAGGGCGTTACGTGCTGAAGTTGGATGCAGAAGACGAAGAGAAAGAGAACGTACAAAGAAGTGAAAAAGGAAACGAGAATAAAAACGAGAGGACATGAGAAAACGTCAAAATTGACGACGCGTTGATTTGGGTATAGCGCGCGATGACACTCGTTGACAATGGATAACGCAACGCTTAGCGCTCCAATTTAGGGACGGCAGTAAGCCGCCCAACGTTTGGTGTTTTTTGCGGCAGTACACTGCAATTGCGTAATTTGTTGGCGATGCATTTCGTCAGCGGCGAACTGCAAGTGAGTAGTGCGCAAGAATGATAGAATATAAGATTGCGCCGATTGCAGCAGAATTCGTGAGAGTAATTTTAGCGTGACGTCATCGTAGAGTTGACAACTGAGAGCGGCGAGAATGAGGGCGACTAGTGATGTGCTGAATTGTCCCCAATACTCGGTACCCAATACTTAAAAAGGATTTCGGTACCCTATACTTCCTTTTCGGTATCCGATACAGATTATTTACATTAAACCCTCGCCATTATATGCATTTCAGGTTTAAAAAAACTTTCATTACTAATTTATATGATATCGGTTAAAACACTTGAACTTATCGCCACAGAAAAATATTATTTTATCAGTCGGTCGGTCCAAGGTTCAAGAAAAATACTTTGACGGATGAAGAAGCCTTTCAGGGGAGAGATTCTGTAGCCAGTTAGCGACAAGTTTCGGATCGATATCGCACTTGTTGACTTACAAATATTTGATATCAAACGTCGACAAAACCGATACCGATTCGAAAATTGTCGTTAACTGGTTACAGAATCTGTCCCAGCCCTGCAAAAATCGTTGGACCATGTAGTCTATTTGTGGTATATTGGA